GTTGACTTTTTGAAAACTTAGTAAAATTTACCGAAACTTACCGAAATATAGTAGAAAAAATGTACAAAATTTTAGGTTCAAAACTTGTTTTCCTCTGACATTCCCAATGAGGTAACTGAAATTAGAAAAAAAAACAAAATCCATCCTCACAGTATTCGGTATATTTAACGTAGTAAGTCCAAATCTCTGTTTTTGACCACTTTTTAGTCAAACATCATAAGCAAAAAAAGATGAAAAAGTTAGTTAGGGGAGATTTTTTTTGTCTGGTATTTTTGTCTGGGGATTTTTTGTCTGGTATTTTTAAAAGTGTTTTACTTGATAACATCTAATTTTGTTTTAAGCATCCTGGAAATTGCACAGAAAAAAATTATTTTGCAAGTGTTTGGATAACTACTTGGAACTGAAAACTCTCTACACTCTCCCTGAAAGTGGCGCGGAAGTTTGTTTTTGGACTTTTTTGCGCCACGGGAAGTCAGGTACCACGAACAATCATCTTAGTAAGTCATACAAAAGTACTTAGTAAAACATTATTAAAGTTTGAATTGATGGGTAAAACAATATTTTGAAAAAGAAGCTGGTTTAAAAATCCGTTTAGTTTAGGTAGATGTAACATAAAATTTTTTTTCTATGCACTGCGAATTTTTATCTTTTTTTCGAGAAAAATAACTTTATTCGAGAAAATTAGCCAGTTTTTTTTGGCAATGACAATTTTTTCCAACATTCAAAAAAGAGTCGCCACATAATAGAAAGAACACAATAAAAAGCAACACAATTTGGCCAACCGACTCTAGAAAGAACACAATTTGGCCAAACGACTCTAAAATTTTTCTAAAGCCGCCTTTAGCGCCAATATTTTCTAGCTTTGAGGGGGAGCGGGCGCCAAAAAAATGCGATTTTTTGGTCAAAATCTTCCAAAAAGTGCCTAAAAAGTGCGGCGCAGAAAAATCAACCAAAACAGCATCTTTTTACTGCTCTAGGGGAGCTCGGAAATTCAATTTGGTCGATTAAAAAAAAACAAAAGCCGTCAAAACGTTCGAAAACTTTTTGAAAATTCCGCCTCCCTTCCTCGAGAAAAACCTAGATCCGCCCTTGATTCATACAGAAAGACCTGAGACTGTCTCTCAATTTTTTTTGAAAATTCGCTCTCCTGGTATATTTGAGATTGTACATATATTTTGCAATATTATTTCTCGGCAGCCTCGTAATACTTTTTTTTGTTCAAAAGCACAAATGGAAACAATCTTTAACGAATCTTGTTCGGCTGATTTTTTGTGCTTTATCCACGCAAAATCGGAGCCAACAAGAACCTTGAGATTCTATTATCTCATTTTGAAGCCTTTTCAATTGTATGTTTTTGATCTTTGTATGTTCTTTAATTTGTTTTGAATTCTGGTTTTCCAAAAAGTCCCCGAGCGGAGCAAAAGTTTGATGATTTCCCCGAGCCAAAAAGTCCCCGAGTCAAGAAAAATTAGTGGTAGAGCGCTAGATTCTCATACCTGATTTAGCATTTGCCTCTACTCTAAAAATCAATCTTAAACGCTTTATCTAAAAAAGCTATTTTTGAGGTTTCATAAGAGGAAAAATTCTATTTGAACTTTCTGTTGGTGATCATTTTTGCCAAATTTTGATTTTTTTTCCACGAAAAACGGTAGTTGGATTTCTCTTAGGTTGAAATTTGTTGCGCGAAAAATTTGTTAAAAACCGATAAAAAACTAGCTTTAGGATTGCATCAAAAAGCTTAAAACATTAATACAGTGGAAACTATCTTTGCCTTCGGGTGATTATCGGTGTTTTCTCAAATTTTGCCCACGCCAAAGCAGATACCACAAAAACGTTGGATAGGTTCAAGTGATAATATAATTTTTTTATCACTTTCTATCGTAAAATCATCAACACGTAAAGTTGTTTTTCAAAAGTATCTAGGTACCGAGAAAACACTTTGCTTTTTAGTCCTGTATGGAACAAATCAAGCGACAAAAGTGGTGCAAAAATTTTTTGAACAAGCTTTGAAAACAATTTTTACATGGGCTTCATTTTTGAAGCTTTTTAAAGCGCTAGCTTTAAGATAGGAAATGTTTTTTAATTCATCCAAAAAGAAAAAAAAACAAAGGCAGTTTGATTTTTCTTTTAAAACTTTTCTCGAAGAGTTTTTTTTATTCTTTTTTTTGTTGTACATTGTACAAAAATTATAATTATCGAAAACAATACAAACGATTTATGAAATTTTTGATTCCTTTCTTTGACTTGTAAAAAAAACAGTGTTTTTAAAATCAATTTTTATGTTATTCATCCAAAATCAAATGCAAAAGCAATTCGTTACTTTTGAAATCATTCCTAAAGATAATTTATAAAGTTTTCTCATTCAAAGCCAACTGCATAAGCAAGTCGAATATTCAGTTGGCTGCAGGAGTTCCATCACGGCAATGAAAAACTATCACGACAGATTAGAAACTATTTTCAAGATAATTTGGCTCATTTTGCTTTTTGTCCACATGCGAGTTTTTACTCGTGAATTTCTTCGACTCTCAAGCTCAAAATGCTATTCAAGTGTGGAAAACTAGCCAAAATTTATGCATTAAATTTAGATCTACTTTTGTTTTAAATGTTTTATGTTTAAATTCACTAGGGGTTCAAGAAGGCCTCTTCTTCTCTCTCTCTCTCACTTGACCTAATATTTTAGGATTGTTTCAGCAATGTAATGCAAAAAAACACTTGTTATAACAAGTGTTAATTTGCATTGTATTGCTGCGACTAATGTGTATACTCGAAGCATGTTTATCGCGTTGCGGTTGAGCAGTGAACTGATTTCTGGTTACTTCTTTCCAGAAATTGTTTATTTCTAAACTAAAAAGAAATTGATCATTTCTGTACGGAAACTACAAAAAATGTGGCTACGTAATCTATGTAACATTTCTATCTAGAAAAACAGCCTTCGCTGGGTACGGGTCTTTGACCAATAATCAGAACCAAAAAATGCAGAACCAAAAAAATGGGCACGCATCTCAATGGTTGCTTTCCAACCCATCTTTTGTATACCTTTTGCGTACGTTTGGAAGTAAAAATTTCAGAAACTTTAACTTGATCTATTTTTTTTCGCAAACTGAGACTTCAAAACCAGGATGCGTGCGAATGGGGCTTTTAAATCAAGTATGGCTTAGACCAAATATGACCAAAAAAATCCGTTGGAAAAATTTGAAAATTTTTTTTTCACGAGTTTCATTTTCCATTGAAACCCATTGAAAACTCCTCTTTCATTTTTTGAATAATTTGGAATCAGACGCTTCTTCTCCCCTCAGTAATTCGACCCCATGCCCCCATTTGTAGTATTTTGAGATATCCATTTTTGGTAAGGGACACTAAAATTTTTCTGAGGGCTCCTTGGGCCTCAATATATACTAATTTTGAGGGCGGAGCGCGCCGAAAAAACGCGATTTTTTTGGCAAGCACTTTCCAAAAAGTTCCTAAAAACGCCTTTTTTGGCCTGTTTTTTCAAAATTTTACCTGCAGCGCAGAAATTTCGACCAAAACAGGGTCTTTGTAGTGCTTTAGGAGAACTCAGAAAATCAATTTGATCGACCTAAAAAAAAGGTCGACAAAACTTTCGAAATTTTTTTGAAAAGCTCCCCCCCTCCTCGAGAAAATCCTAGATCCGCCCCCTGTCTACAATTTAAAAACTGGGAATTAAACTAGCGTTTTTATGATAATAAATCTAGAGATGATTCCACTAATTTTATCAGTTTTTATATAATCATGTAGATCTAAAAGGAAATTTAATCTATTCTGGACCAGACCACTGACTGAAGGGTTCTTGAATGCTGATAATAGTCGGCTTCAAAGGCTTCCGATAGGTCAAGGACTCATTCACACGTGCACTTCTAGCCCGTTTGAAGATCTCTTCTTTGTTCAGCAACACTCCGTTTTCATCCACTTGAAACAAAAAAAATCCTTTGAAACAGAAAACTTTTTAAGGGATAATAGGAAGTTTTGAAAAAAATGGCTTTTTGGAGCATTTTAAGGCTGGTGAAACAATAGTTTTCAGAGTTGCAACTTAGCTTACATCAATACGAATTGTTAATTGTATTCATGTACTTTTTTTCCAGTTTTTCTTTAGATGGTGTTGATGATTGTTAATTTAAATCCGCAAAAATGAGACCAAATTAAGGGAAAAAAATGTAAATTAGTCGAAAACCATTTTTTAAAAGTTTCTGTTGAAAAATAACTTAAAAGAACATCAATTACTATGCTCATATAAATTCCCTTGAGCTATGTTAGCCTATAAAAAGATAATAAAAACTCAACTCCGTCAGAAAAAACTAGAGTTTGCTAATGGAAGTCCTAATTCTTCTGGGGGTGCCACAGAACTTTTTTGGGAAGTGATTTCGATGTAATTTTGAAAATAATCAAAAACTTTCATTTTTTTGAGTAATTAAAATAAACAGTTATTCCTTATTGGAAACAATGAGTTTTTTTTCGTGTAATTTTTCTGTTCATGATTAAAAGTGTTGCGGATTGATGAGAAAGCAAAATACTTTCTTGAAAACCTAGTAAATAGAAGTTATCAGTGAGAAAAGCTTACATGCAGCCAGCATAAAATTTTAGGGACAAATATGTTGTACGTACACGTGTTCCCTTTTTAGTAACTTTTAACCCAAAACGCGTTCGATAATATAGCAAATTACTTGATGAAAAAATTAAACAATATATTGATAATCAACAATCGATGACCCATTTCAACAGTTGGTTAAACATCAACTAAAAAGGGAGAGACATCATTGATTATAGAGTCAGAACATAACTAATTCAAGATCAACAGATAAAGTGAGTTTGTGCATTCACTTTTTTTAATGTTTCAAATAAAAGTCTTGAAAAGATTAACTTTCATGCCATCACACCCAACCTTTCCGGGTTCTTGATAGTTTATGAGCTCCACAGAGTCTGGTGCAGCTTGAATGGCTGTAGTTGGAGAATAACGTCTTCTGCTATCAAGTTTTGCATCATACTATCTGGACTTTTAGCATCATACTTGTCGTTTCTTTCACGGTTTTGGTGGCTTGGCTAAATCCATCAACCAAGAATTATTCGTTATGAGTGAGTATTGGGTGCAATTGAATGATGAACATTGCAGAAACATTTCGTATCTGGACTGATTTCATTTTGTCCCTTGTTTTTGTGGCATGTTTGCTTGTCTTGACCGCTTGTTCCAATCTTGTCAATCTTACGGTTGTAATCAAGTAGCTAATACTGAAAGCCTGCATTGAAATTAGTAAAGGTGGTTTGGAGTTGAAGTTGACTTAATTGGTTGTGTAATGATTTTTTCCGAGTTGTCCGTTGACTCCCGGCAAACACTTTTCCTATCGAGTTTTTGTTGTTCGGAAGACAGGCGCATCTCACTGAAAGATGACCACCCCTCAGATTTAACAAGGGTTTGTAAAAAGATGGCTGTTAAATAGTTAATTGACTTGACTGAATTCTAGTTCGCATAAATAAGAGAGTGAACTTAGAGGTCAACACTTAACAGCTAGACAGCTTTAGTTGATTGACAGGCAGGTACCAGTCTCACACTTGATAAAGTCTGGGAACTAATAATAGCAACTCGAATGATTGACACTAAGATGATGATTGACAACTGAACATATTGTAGCCCCTGACATTTCCGTATGGATGTAAAATTTAAATACATAGTAATTTAAATTTAAGTATACTCGCCACATCTTCAACCTGCCGCCTCAACTATCATATAACAAACAACTATCAGTTTTAACAATTTGAGTTTTAGGCTTAATGGCCATCCCTCTCCCTGGGTCAACGAGTTTTCGAATAATGTGAAATAAGTTCATTTCCGTTCTCCCCCTGGTTGTGTTCCTGGTTGTTCCGCCCCCTGGATGGTTTCGATCATCACTCCTCCCATTTTGTCTACTGGCTTTCTCCTTCTAGTACTCCTCCTGGTTCCCGAGCTTTCACTTTGGCTTCCTGATTCCCCTTCTTCCTCCTGACTGCTATTTACAAGACACTCCCGCGCCGCTAACGCTGGACGTTCCTGGCTTTCCTTCAATTGTTTACTTTGGCCCCCTTTTCCTCGCTTAGCTCTTGTCACTCTGGTTTTAGCTTTAGCTCCCGTTCCTCCTCTCACTACTGTCGTACTGCCGCTTGGGCCTTGTCCCGCTGCAATTGCCTCGCGCCTCGCTAGCGATTCTACCGGTAGTCGTACCGGAATGTTTATTGGCAGATTGTCTTCCGTATCCGAACTGTCGGACTCGAAGGTGGCTAATTGGACTGTCTTAGCTCGTTTTGATTTCGGGCTCACTACTGCCCCTCTTTTTGCGCTCGCTAGCATATCCTTGAGCGTGGCAGGCTTCCGTTTCTTGGGAAGGTCATGTTTCGGTTTTGATGCCACTGCACTTTTCCGATTTAGGGTCTTGCTGGTAGTACGCTGATATAGATTTCGTCCTTTCCCACTCTCCTGGGTGTTAAGTCCAGTGTCTCCACTCCCTTGGATGTGTGGGGCAACTTCCGATTCCCCCCTTGGACATGCGTCCATTTGTTGGTCACTATCCAGCGTGATAGGGGCCCTTCGCAAGGTTGGAGCGTATGTTAGATCCGACCTCTCATCCCAATTTGAATGCTGAGGGAATGCAACTTTGCTCAACTCAGGATCATTCTCGTTGAAGTATGACTGCCACTGATCCATCTGCTCCTCCTCTGGTTCATCGTGTCCTTCCTTGCAGGAAATGTCCTCCGCCCCCTGGATGTTCATGACCTCCCCCCTTGGATCTGCTTGCATCAACTGTAGTCCAAGTTTACCCATCAAGTCACGTCCCACGATAGATGGTCTGGTCCCCCCAATGACTCGGACTTCTGCTGTCGTCTTCCAGCCGTTTGATGCTAACTCGAGTTCCATTCTGCCCAACATCTTGATCCGATTGTTACTGTAATCTCGAAATTCGTCATCGTCAGTGTTATCCTGCTTCAAGTTGATTCCCGCTCTTCCCACTGTTCTTCTCAAATCTTCTAGTGTTAGAATGGATATCGGCGATCCACTATCGATCCAAATGTTCATCGGGTGCCCATTAATGAATACTTTGAGTTTGGGCCCGGCAACTTTCAACATCATTTCCTTCTTCCGTCGAATTGCCATAACCATGTAATCGTCCGAACTTTCTGACGACCAGCTGTGATGTTCTCGTTTGACGAAACCAACTGAACTTGCCGCAGCTTGGGGCTCCACGTCATCCGAGGGTGTATCTTCCTCGTCGAGAAACTCATCCCCTTGGATCAATCCAACCGGTTGTCCCCCCCTGGATTGTCGTTTTCCTCGGCAAGTCCTCTCAAAGTGCCCAATCTTCTTGCAGAAGTTGCATGTGACGGCTCTCGCTGGGCATCGTTGTCGGTGTTCTGGGGTGAAATTCGGTTGATCGCAGTTGTAACATCTGCGCTCTTGCACTCGATCTTGTGTTCGACCTCCTCCACGATTTGGATACTGACCCCGTCCCCTTGGCATTCCTCGTCCCCTGGATCCGCGAATATTGCTGACTGGTTCCGTTTTAATCTGTAGAGAACCCCCTGGCGATGGATGCGCCATTCCCGTGGAACCGGATACGGCCCCCTTGTAGCTCCTTGCGTATTTGTCTCCTCTTTCGTATGACATTGCGATTCGCAGTGCTTCTTCCGGGGTTTTGGTTTCCCTACACAGCTCGTTCTGCGCGTCCCTGTTCCTCATGTTGAAAATAAAAATGTCTCTAACCATTTTCCGCTCCTGGGTGCCCAAGTTGCATCTTGCCGCCATTCCGCTAAGTTCTGCATAGAACGATTCTAGACTCTCACCCTCCTTTTGTTTCCTCGACAACATTTGGTACATTTCGTACGTCTCGTTCCGCTCTTTCTGAAAGAGAGCTACACAGGTATCCAAAAAACGTGGGTATCGTATTGTTTCCATATCTAAATGTGGATGCTGGTTATGCAATGCTCTCTGTCCCTCATGTCCCAGGGATAAGTACAGATTCGATATTAGTGTACGTTCACCTTCTGCCCGTGGTTTTCCACCAACGTCCCCCAGATCTGTAATCTGTGCTTCGGTTAATGTCGATGCAAAGTAGTATTCTGACGAGACTATTCCATGTTTCGCCACCATCGCCCAATGGAATCGTTGTTTCCAGTGTTCCCATAAAAGTTGTGGTTCCGCCTGATTTGGAGGCCAGAAAGCCACAATTCCAAGGGGGTTTTTCCCCCCACCGTCTGCTGGCTGCGCCATAACAAGGGTTTGTAAAAAGATGGCTGTTAAATAGTTAATTGACTTGACTGAATTCTAGTTCGCATAAATAAGAGAGTGAACTTAGAGGTCAACACTTAACAGCTAGACAGCTTTAGTTGATTGACAGGCAGGTACCAGTCTCACACTTGATAAAGTCTGGGAACTAATAATAGCAACTCGAATGATTGACACTAAGATGATGATTGACAACTGAACATATTGTAGCCCCTGACAGATTTTGTTGAGTAAACTCTCGACGCTATCTTGAAAGATTGAGGATGAATTCTTTTTACCTTGAGATGGTCGGATCTCCTCAATCTAGCTGTTGACTAAATTGTTTTATTTGGCATCATGGCCATGGTTGTAAGTGTCTGAGAGATGGATGCTTCTGAAAGATATTGGATCCAGGCAAACTTCGGAAACTTTTTTTGAGTCAGTAATGTATAATCTCCGTTCTTTATATTGCCTTTAAATGAACTGTTTAGCCGGCTTGTGGTCCAAATTTATAGTTTCTGATTTTCTACCAAGCGACTTTCGATGCAATGATAACCCATTTTTTGTGTTGCTTTACAAAAACGATGTTAAACCCCGGAAATCAATTTCAACTTTGTAGCAATTGGCTGTCAGCAATGTCCCTGATAGGTCATTGTCGCGTTCTAGGAAAAGGGGAAAATAGGATACCAAGTATGTTGAGCTCGAAACGCTTGTTCGATTGTACAACTAGAGGTTTTGAGCTTTTGCACGGTCTCAATCATCATATCCTAATTCACAAAGTTTTGCTTAGACGAAGAGTTTGTGTCCATCGTGTTTTTAGAGTTCGAGCAGCTTCATCAACAGACATTTTCCCGACTTAGTGTTTTTTAGAAGCTTGACGAAATTATACCAGCGCTTGAGTTTTCTTGAACTTTTACTTTGTTGTCATCCATGATGACAATTTCCCACGTGGTTGCTATGCTGATAAGTCTCGATTATAAAGTCAATCTTGTTTTCGTTCGCAAAAACTTTCACTTTCTTTTGTCGAAACTGAGCCCATTCGGATCATAGTTTACCCTTTCATCAGCAATTATTTTAACCGTGTAGCTTTTTTCAGGTGAACTGCTCTGACACCATTGCATTCAAAACCCAAGCGTCGTTTTTTACCCTGTGATTTATATTGTTTCATTGCTGAAGGGCACAAAGTATTCCCAATTAATAGCACACTGCGATTGATCAGCACCGAATGCTGCATTAAATTTAGCTGGTTTCCTCAAGTTTTTATCAGATTCGTATGCAATTTTTTTTAATTTTAACCTGATTTGTTCCAGCAAATTATCCTGATTGATAGTTAAAGTAATTTAAAAAATTGGAGGGCAAATAAACACTGCTCACTTAGAATGATTTTAAGTCACATTTTGTCCTAAAAATCCCAAATGTACGTTATCAGACTCTTTTGGGTTCTGAACAGTCCATAGTAAGTAACGATCACGTGTTTTCTTTCTACTAATAGGAGATGTCACTAAAAATCTTCCCGCGGAGGTTGTTTGCTCAGAAGATCTGGCGGTGTAGAGTCTCTGTAGTATATCGTTGCTTTTTTCTCTTGAATCGCCTGTTCCGACTCAACCTGATTGTCTGTAGGATAAAAAAAATTTCTGCTATCAGGATGCACTTGATTTTCATCATCTAGAGTATCGTTTGTTCATCTGTGCTCTCCGTGCACTCTGTCTGTTGTTTGAAGCTGTCAATCAGGTTATCGCTATCGAGAACGGTCATTTGTGAATGAAAAGTTTAGATTCAATCTGTATGGGCTTGACGTACAAAGATGAAGCTTACAGATTTAGCTGCAGCGTCTTTAATTAATTTATCTTTCAAAATTGTTTCGTTTTTTGTATCGTGAGACGCATATGACCATTAAGGGTGATTAGGAAACAAGCTACAATCATAATAAATTCGTTAACGAATCAGGCATATTACAAAAATTGTTCAGTATAAATTCACATTTTAGGTAGCGCTCAATCGAATGGTCGCCTTAAGGCTAGAAGCCTGTTTGCAGTTGCCACTTGAGAGAAAGTTGGGAATCAGAACCCATATTTTTGTTTTTATCCGATTGAAACATAAAGTTTTGCATAAAGCGTTTTTGTTGATGTAGATCTAAACCATAAAGACCAAGGATTTTTATTTACGATTTCTTTGTAAGAAAAAAACTAACTATTTGTTCAAAAAAAAATTAAAAATTCAACCCAAAAAAACCTTTGCACAGACATCAGTATCATGTAGATATAGGTATCTGAGTTTTTCGACAAAACTGTCTATTTTACTTGCTGGGTATTGCATTATCTTTAACAAAATTTTATACTTTAATTTGACAATCTTATTATGCAAAGAAGTCTATCTCGCTCGTTTATTTTTTTAAAAGATTTTAAATATATTCATAAATATATTAATATGTTTTTAAATTTATTCATCACAGATCGCAATTGTATTGTTCTAATCCGTGTGTCACTTAAAAGATGCTTACGTATTTCTTTGGATGTTATGAAATTATTCACGTCTTTTACTTGTATGTTCTTTTCTTATGAATTTTGATAGTATTTTTTACTTCGTTTATATAGCTCATAGATTGAATAAACTTTGTGTTTTCCTCTCTTCGTTCTTATTTCATCAATTTTTTCCCTGGTGATTGGTCTCATTAAAAATTTTTGTTGTTTCTGTAGTTTATTTAGACTTGTTTTTGAGTCATAAATCAATGTTCGTTTTTTGTAAATTGGTTGTATGTAATTTTTATAGACTCTCACGAGTTGTTCAACCGATAACATGTTTCTAATTTGGTAGAGAAACGAAATGAATTTTGCGCATCTTGTTTTTACATTTCGGATATGTATTTTTCTCATTTCGGATAAAGATTTCTTCGTCTAATTGGCTAGACTTTTAGATTAATGACTATGTAGAATGATCAGCATAAATATACAAGGGTTCCAAATCAGATAAGTGCATACCAAAATCTGTCGAATTGAGAACGAGAGATACATTTGGAATGGGTTTGTGGTCAGGTCGGTTTCCAAATCGACTACCGGGTGCGGTGAAAGGTCTCTTGTGGTTATATTCTCTAGAGTAGGTTGTCCTCGCACCCCTCTCCCCCAACGAACTCAGGTCCACGTCGCCTTCGCTTATCAGGGGCACTAAACAACATCTAATTTTGATTTAGTTTTTTTTCATTTTTCTCTTTTTTTTTCTCCAAAATTCGATATTCAACTGCAAAGCTAACTGATTGTTCATGTTCTAAATTAAAATACAATGTGTCAATATGATCAAACGAACAAACTTTCTAACTTTTTTTTCATGCTAACTGAAGCATGAATGTTTTTGAAAAAATTGATATCGATATTTTACGAGAAGATGAGAAACTGAAAGAGCCGATTTTTTATTTAAAACTAGCCGATCTTCTCAAATGAGGTAACATTTGCAACTCTCTTGAAGGATTAAACTCTTTATAAAATCGTTATTTTTACATGTTTTTTCAATGAAAAGTGAAATTAAAGAGCCTAAGAATCTGATGACTAGGAGTCCGAACTCACCAACTCCCAAAGCTGGTATGTGGAAACCAGGGTTGCACTCATATCTGGTGGTCTGGGGCCGAAGTGAAGCCGGTTGCTTCTTCGGCCGCAGATAGGAGATTCTACTGTTCGTGTCTAGGGTCTTTGGAGGACTTGGCTTCTCACCAGAGGCGTTCAGGTCGCTAACGTCGAAGAACGCAGTTCGTAGATTGACACCTAAAGAAAACTATTTCGTTTTCAGAAAATGGTTTTAGGAATAGAAAAAAGAGGTTATGTACTCATTCAAGCAGTCAATTTGTGTCAAAGCAAAAAATCAAAAAAAAAATATTTATAACGATCCATTAAGTTTTCTTCTAAAAATTTTGAATATCTTTTGCAATTCTTGGACGGAAAACAAAGAATCGAACTAATTAACTACATCACACACAAAGATAAGTCAGCTCCTACCACACAGTTTTCTTTAATGAAGTCTAGAGATATAAAAAGGAAATTCTTTTTTTTCTATTTTTTGGTTTCTTTTAGAGATTGAATTGAGTGAGATGAGATTGTCTAAGACAGTAAGACACAAGCCAAAACATTGAAACAGTTTTGTATTAGATTCGATTAGAAATTCAATTTGAAATTTCCTGTCAGAAAAATTTCAGTCTGAAAAAGAACAGACCAGTTTTTCTGAACACTGAGTCAACTTTCTAAACAATTGAAAAATTTGTAACGCGATACTTCATCGAACCGTACGAGTTTTCTACGAAGTGTCTAAGATAGGGCGCAAACATACACTCCACCTCATAGTGCCTTCTCTTCAAAATTCGTAAAGTGGTCGGAACAAAATCACCTTGCTTGCCATAAACACCAAAATTTCACGTCAGTTATTGATTTTCATTACGACGCCAAACTGTGCATTCTGTGCCTTGTAAACGGATTCTGCAAGAATCCAAATCCGCAAAATTGCTACTTTTCTTTGATCTTCTTTGCTGTTTTGGATTCCATAAACAAATACTTAAAACATTGTACCGCTCAAAATCGCTTCAAAAACAGGCGAGTTTGCGGAATCCGCAACTGTATTTGCGGAAACCAGAACAGTTTATGGAATCCACAAACAAATAACAAGACATGTGTATAGTTACATTGAGCTGTTGCGGAATCCGCAACTGTAAGCGGAATCCGCAAATTGTAAGTGGAATCCACAAATTGTAAGTGGAATCCGCACTTTGTCTGCGGATTCCACTTAAATTTGCGGATTCCATCTACATTTTGCGGATTCCACTTACTTTTTGCGGAATCTACTTACAGTTGCGGAATCTAGAACAACTAGCTACCTGCGCTCAGTAAAAAGAGAAAATAATAGATTATAATGGATTTTTCTTGTCAGTCTCCATGAATTTCAAAAAGAATTGATTATAATCGATTAAAAAAGGATTATAATGTTACTGTTTTTCGAAACAAAAAAAATCTTTATAATCAATCATGATTGATTATAATCATTAATTTTATGATTGTTTTTTTTTCTCAAATTTTTTTGGACTTATAACTCATTATAATGGATTATAAACCTTTATTATTCAACAAACGTCATCGCTTCAATTCGTTTTAGTTTTGTTTTGTTTTGTGTGCTCTTCAGTTGGTTACTGAACTAAAAGAAACTGTAATTTTCTACTTGTAGCCACCAACGGATTTAGGAAGGGGGGCGTCGGGGGGGGACGCTTCCTTCCCCTCAGGGATTCGACCCCCTGCCGACTCAAAAGGTCTCCCCATTTTCCCTGCACTATTTTGAGATCACCCCACTATTATAAAGTCCCCCCCCACTATTTTCAGATATCCACTGTTTAGCTTACTGACCCTAAGAGTTTTTAGCGGTGCCTAAATATATTTTAAATTTGAGGGGGGTGCGCGCCAAAAAAGCAATTTTTTGGTCATTTTTCCAAAACGTGCTTGCGGTTCACAAAATTTGACCAAAACAGGGTCTTTTTAATGCCTCGGAGAGCTTGGAATCAAAGTAGTCAAGTTTTATAAAGCTTAGGAGACCCCCCCTCCCCCCGCCCGCTCGCGAAAGTGCTAGATCCGCCCTTGGTTAACTGATTCTTACTTACAAATTTTTACTGTGTTTTCATGCAGAATAGCTAAATTATAATCAATTAAAATTAATTTTTCCCGTGAAATTTTATTTTGATAGAAAAAGGGATTATAATCTATTATAATAGATTATAAAAAGTACAAGAGATTGAAGGAGATTTTCGGAAAAAATTATAATTGGTTATATTTATTAAAATTTCACCAAAAATGTTATCAATATAATGGATTATAAGTCGTTTAAACATCTGAAATTGGCGCTAATAACTAATTATCTAATTATAATTTTGCTAAAAGTACGATTATAATTATAATTTGATCGATTATATTCTCTTTTCACTGAGTGCGGATATATTTGCTTGTTGCGGAATCCGCAACAAAACAAATGTGCCGACAAAATTTACATTACAGGTATTTGTACGAGGAATCCACGAAACTTTTGTAAGTAGAATCCACTTACATTTTGGAACAAATTTAAAGATTTGTCTCTGGAACCCAGGAACATACAGGCACAAATTTGTGCGCCTTTCCAGTTACAGTTTGGCCTCGTAATTTTTAACTCGACTCAACCGTTGAAATTTAGATGCAAAAAATATATCACCCTGGCAAAGTTGGACTTAGAGACTATTTTTAATATGATTTTTTTGCACAGTAAGAGGCAGAGATAAATACGCTCCGGTCGTGGTTTTTCTTTGGTAGGTCACGCCATTCGCGGTTAACTTCCTTCGGTCGTCGATTACCATGGTCTGCAAATTCTGAAAATACCAATATTTTGTCGCGATGGTCTAATCATAAACAACAACAATCTCACCTCGATCTAATATTCACCATTGTTTTTTGAATTTTTTTCAATAACCTGACTCCGCTTGAGAGGACTGAATTATTTTAAATACTTGATCCCCTACGAGTATCTAACCTCTGCGCTTAAAAAACATCTTACGCTAAAGTTATGTTCGAGAGTGATCGGAAAGAAATCATTTTAAATCCTAGAGCTAAATACTAGCCTTGAGGTGCGCCAAGATAGTCAACTTGGTAAATGGATCTCGTTTTGTCTCGTATTGCGTTCTCCACTCGCGAGTCGTTTATTCGAAAAGGGTTTCTTGCCGTGTTCGGTCGTGCCGCCGGGTGGTTCATTTCGTTCTTCTTCCACGGCGAGTCTTTCCCGCTCAGATTCCGCTCGGTGTGAGATCCATTTTTTACTCGGTAGACTATTATGTCATTCACATTCGGCACACTCGCTGTTACGTCATAACTGCTTGCTGATACTTTTTCTCTTTGTTTCGAGTTCTGCCAGTTCATGAAATCCTAAATAAAAAGAGATAATAAAGCTTAAAATACTAGATTATCGCTGACACAGAAATTCAACTCCAGCTAATATGAAAAATGTAGCCAAGAAATGCTGTTCAAAAAATCTACAAAGAGTTCTTATTCACCAAATATTTAGGGTAATGACTCGAAAAGCTTTACTATGATTTATTGTTTTTTTTTTGAAATGGTCATTTTTTCTAGGATTCTTTTTTTTTCCACGTTCCAAAGGAAGCATATCTACTTTATAGTTAGAAAAACTTTTGATGATAGTCTAACGCCAAAATCTTGTCAAAGAAACCGATTATTTCAGAAATATGCAACTGCAAAATCCATACCCTGCATTTTTGGCGGAATAGCCAGTCATTGCACGATTGTCGATAACCAAAATCCATTTTTCAAATGTTGTTAACTTTGATTATAAAACTGTACATTGGTTGCTCATAACTTTTTCGTATATAATAGAAAAAATCTCTCTAAGAGAACGAAAGCTTGTTGAACTATTATACGCATATTTTTTGCATAACATCTTTTGATGTTTTTGAAACCGCACCACGTTCTTAATTAATAAATTGAGCGTCATTTTTCTGTCTGTTTAACAATTTGATACTTTATCGAGTGCTTTAAAATTAATAAACATGTACCAAATCTGAAAACCGCAGGTCGCTGGTAATCAAAAAGTTTTTTGATAAAATCTTACTTATACCTACCTCATCCGATGGTGTTTGAGAGTTCCAGTTACCTGTTGATGATCTCCAAGAAAAAATTCAGATGCACATTTATTTCAATCAACGTTTTAGAATCACCAGGTTAAGATAGAGCTCTGCATCTCAATTTTACAAAAAATCAGAACACTTCTGCAAAATATTGGTATATTTATAGGAAAAGAAATTGAAATTTAAGAAAATATGTCACGCAAAACTGTATGAGTCTTAAAAGTATTTAAGTTTGATTCAGTTGAATGGAAATAAATTCAAAACAATGAGTCTTCAAAATCAGATGGTTCAGTTGACTGAAAATTAAATTTAAAGCAATGCGTCTACAAAAAAAGCTACGCCTCTTGTTGTCATAAAATTGAATCGAGAAACAAAAAGTTTTATGCTCTGATGAGCACTGTGCCTGGTGCTCCCTTGTGTTACAGCTGGCTCCGTTTCCAGTGGAGAAGCTTCGCGCATCCAGATACAGATGGCGCTAGTCATTTTTAGCGTTTTTCGAAAGTCTGAAAATCTATCAAATTTTGTAGGACCTCAAAAAAGCCGTCATTTAGGCGTTAAAAATTAGGGGAGCGGTGGTGAAGTGGTTACGTCTCCGCCTCTCAATCGAAAGGTCGGATGTTCGAGGCCCACCATGATCCGTGCTCGTTGCTTGAGGGTGAAGCAACATAACCCAGCCCAGAAAAATAACCAAAAAAAAATAGCATGTAGTTCTTAACAAGGGCACAACAGCGGTTCGCCGTGATGAGCTGTACAGCTCTTGTGTTGGTCCTTTCCCGCGTGGATAAATGGTCTTAAAAAACACGACGTACAAGCAATCAGTAATGATTTATCTGAAATTTGAAAAAACACCCACTCCTAAAATTATTTTCTTATTCCTTGAATAAGAGAAACAAAAAAGATCATGGAATGTTACAAACAATCATTTGATCTCGGGAGCTCTTACACTCTTTTCTAAGTTGATTTACTCCTATTTGACCATTTAACGAGCAACAATTTGACCATTTCTCACCATTTTGGTTTGCGGGTTATTCTTTCTCAACCCGGACCCAGAGGCTGCTCTCACAGGTTGAGCTTTTTGGAATCCCTTTTCGTAAAACTCCTCCCCATATCTCGTGAGAGGCTGACAGGGGACTCGGGGGAGGAATCGGCAGAAGGTGCTGGAAGCTTTCAGTTTTGACTCATTTTGGCTCGTGGAGTCCTTGCATTTTTTGCTGTCGCTAAAGCAAAATACGGGGGTCGAGATGCTGAGCGGAAAAATGACGCAAAACACTGTGAATTATAGGTTATACCCAGGGAATTGCCTATAAAACTATTGATGCGTGAAAAACTGCATCAAATACAAATTAGTTCGTATATAGCATGAGCGGGTTTTTTAAATTTCACAACCGCCTAATTAATCTGTCAAAATTAGACAATGTGAGAACAATTGGACAATATGAGAAAAAAGTTGTCAAAACTTGCAAGTGTGCAGAGGAAAGGAGCGCAAGCGCGGAACAGGGATTTTCTAACATTTAGATTGACTAAAGTTCTGAGCTCTCCCAATTAAAACACTATGGGGACCCTATTTTTAAAAAAATTCTTCGCGGCAGGCGAGTAAGAAAACAGGCCAAAAACGAATGTATAAATTGGCGCTTAAGCTGTTTTTCTTAAATTTTATGGCCAGTCAGCCAAAAATGGGTGTCGTGAAATAGTACCAAAAGAGTGATCAAGGGGTCGAATCCCTGAGAGGGGGACATCTGTCTCCGCCCCTAAATCCGCTGCTGATTTATAGATTCTTTTGTACTTCTTGCATGTTTTAGCATATTCAACGTTATTAGTATTCGGTTATGTCTTAACTTCGCGGTGTTTTGCGTCGTCTTCAGCTCAGTTTTTATAGAAAAGAAGTAAGAATATCTCTTGAAGTATGGCTTAAACATGGCACTGGAATCGTCGGCAAAGTGGCAATTGGAGTAGGACATTAAGTGGTGGGGGTTTAAGATTAAACTAATTGATTGCAACAGCATGGGGACTGAAGTTGATTATTATATCTACTGTACCGATTTGAGGGCTTTGGAGCCTGCATCGGCTCTTCTATGAGGCAGGAGCTAAAACAAAATGTTTCACTTATGTTTTTCAGGCTGATGACAAACTGCGTAATCCAACAGGCTAGTCATGCAATTCCAGAGACTGTTTATAAAAAAACGCTCGTCATACAGTTTTCTTAATGAGCGAAATCCTAAAATTATTTTTTTAACCTGATTTTAAATGAATATTGGTGTGCCAAAAGTGTTGTAGCAAAAAATGAGCGAAGTAGAATATCAAAAAAGAATTCCATGTAGAATATCGAAACGGTCCAGAATTATTTGTGAGCATTTTGGAGCGCAATACTTACTTGTTTGAAGCAAAAAAATTTAGGAAGCAAAGTTTTTTGCGAGCATAATGTTGTCCTGCGTACGCAAAAGTGCAATTTTTTTCGGTTAATTGAATATATTTTCGGAAAAAAACTGATAAGTACAATTTTTACATTGCTTATTTTTTATGTCCACGTAAGTTTAAAACTGATACAAAAAACGAAAATTGCTCTCTTAAGAACATAACATGCTTTCAAAAAACATTATTTAAAAATGCAAACAAAACAATAAAACATGAGCATCAGTCGCTCGCTTAACCTTAAAAAAATATATGTTTATAATATCGTATCGCGAGCTGACTAAAAGTAGCTATCTTAGAACTTTTCTCATAAGAATCTTACAACTTCTGATAAAATTAGGCTCTAAGAATTCTACAAAATAGGGATTTTTTCTTATAGGAAAGTTGTAAGATAGTGACTTTTCTTAGAAGAAAGTTATAAGATAATAAATTTTCCTACAAAAAAATTTCTAAAATTTCCTTCTATTCAGTTCAAAAGTACTCCGCTCTCGCAAAGCACATTAACGGAAACTCTTATGCTACACTTTTGTTTTAGTACTTGAAATTACCGAAGAAACTCCTAACTTTAGTGAGTTAGTTATTTGCTAAATTAAAAAGTTTGTACATAATTATTTGAACATCACATACAACACGCCCCAAGCTGATGATATGACTCGTCACAGCTGATTTCTTATTGTCTCCTCAAAACTTTAGAATTTTTTTGTTCGAAATGCATACATTGTGACTGACTTCCATAAACCGAAAATGTTTAACTTATAATTCATTACCTCAAAAATGCTCATCATACAATTCCGCACATCAAATGTATGGAAAAAATGCTAATCATACAATTTTCATAAAATTTCGAAAAATCATTGAAAAAAATTCGAACTAGTTTCCGAGGCTATTTGAACCAAATAAATCAGTCTGGTGATGAAAAAACCTAAGTTTCTTTTTTTGAAAAAAAAATGGTTATCATACAACTTCCATATATGAAAATTGTAGGACTAAAATGTTTTTGATGGCAACAACACAAATATTTTCCAAAGAAACTGAAATTTTTCCAAAAAACTTTGTTTTGTTTCTTTTTTCAACAGCAAATCGAAGAAGTTTGTCTTCAAACAAACATTTTCCAAAAAAAATTATGCATGCAAATTTTAATTTTTGTCTGCATAACCTAGTCCTTGATACACAAAAATTGTTTTTTTTCCGTTTCTCAAGACAACTTTTTCAAACAGGCTGAAAACTCCTATTTCTTTTGCATGGCATATTCATATATGCCCTGATGAATGTCTGATAATTTGAAAATTTTAATTCTAAAAATAATCATCTTTAAAAAACTTTGCCAAAATTTAAAAGTTTGATGCTTTCAGTATATGATTTGTGAAGAGAACTCTTACACAATTAAGGTCGTTTCCAATGCAATGTAAATGTCAGACAATCAACCTTTTGGCAACTCTAGTTTTGAATAAACCATGGTTTTAGTCACTTGTGTTCGGTCACGACCACATCCCGACAATTTGTTTTAAATCAACTATTTGGTTCATCAAAAAACGCTTATCCTATAATTTCCATATAAGCAAAGAGTTTCGATATAAGAAAAGACCGTATCTTAGAGTTTTCTTACTTTTTTTTGTATCTCTGGAATATTACCAAATTGTATGATATGCATTTGTCCATATATTAAAATTTTGAGAGCGTCGAATCCTGCGAGGAAGGAAGACATCCGCCAACGACCCCTCCGTTAATTCCGCTCCTGCTTGTAGTTAGAAAAATTAACGAGGTGCATTTTTTGAAATAGTGGGGGTATCGATAGAAAACTGTAAAAGTTTCCAATATAATCAACAGACAGCTGGAAGTCAAACAACACAAGTAAACACAAAAATAAATACTGTTTTTTTTTTTAAATTTTCAACGTTTGTTTTTCGACAAAAAAAAATGGAAAGCTCCAAACTTCTTTGAAATTTTAGAACAATTTGTAGTTTATGCTTTTTCGATAAAAATAAACGGATTTAAGAAAACTGAACCAATAGAGAAATCGGATAAAACAATTAAAGGTCTTTACACTTACACTTCGGCTGTTTGATAGTGGATATTATATTGCCTTCCTGATAACAAAGGCATGAACTCAACTTAAAAAGAAATCATTGCGACCTAGATAAGAGTCTGAGCTACGTTCATCGACTCTTAATCATGAAATGATAAAAGCAGTGTCTTATTTGAGTGAAAAAAAACTAACCAAAACTAGAGAAAGCGAAAAAGAATTTTTTGATCCAAAAAACGAATAAACTTGACATGACGTTTATGATATAAATTCTGCCACCGACACATGATTTTCATTCTCCTAACAGATAAAGCGAAGCTGCATATAACTACAACTTATTTGTCTTAACAAAATTAAAATTTGTTTTGTGCTGAGCTTTTTGGGTGAACCAATTCGATTTTCCAGCTCACCAAAAACACTATAAGGGACGTTATTTGCGCCGCAGGCAAAACTTTGAAACAGGCTAAAATTGACGTTTTGAGCGCTTTAAACAAAAATTTGACTAGAAGTTCCGTTTTTTTTTCTGCACGAGCTTCCTCCTCCATTTAATTATGAAAGCACCGAAGGCGCTTTTAGGAAAATTTTATGGTTGACGAAAGGAAAATGAATCTCGTAAATTTATATCAAATGGAAGGCACTTCGAATAAATTTGGCACCAAGAACCAAGGGGGGAGGGGCGGTCGAGGACGACCCCTCCCCTCGGCACATTTTTGTTTCAGCTATCATAGGTCAAGGTATGCCATGCCTGGTCACGACTTCGTAGAACACAATTTTTCAGCTGCTGGATAATTTTTTGTCGTTTACCTCTTTAGTTTTTTTCGCATTTAGGTTTCCTTTAATCGAAAAAATTTATCAGTCCAGAGCGTAGCCAGCTTATCATACAACTCCATACACCAAATGTATGGAAAATTGTTTATCATACATTTTTCATACAATTTCAAAAAATCATTGAAAAAAGCTTTGAACTAGTTTTTGCGGCTATTTGAACCAAATAAAACAGTCTGGCGACTAAAAAAACTACTTTTTTGGAAACGAACGTTTATCCTACAATTTCCATAAATGAAAATTTTATGATAAGCGTTTTTCCATTGAAAACAAGTATTTCAGAAAACTTAAGAACGTTTAGAACGTAAACCATAGATGTTAGAGGGCAGCCGGTAATTTCAGGTTTCACCTGATACGAGCAGTTTTGTTTTTTAAACCTCTAAATCTGACAGTTAAGAAATAAGTGTAGAATCATACGACGATTTGTCATTCACGCTCTATTAGGACAGGAAACTAGACCTAACTTAAACCGCAAATTGACATCGAACATCTCTCATTCTTACCTCATAGGCTGTCCTAATTGGGCTTCTTTGAATGTATTCTCAATTGGAAACTGTCTCTGATAACTAGTCTGGTATGCGTTCCTAACACGCCATTCATCTTCAAGTGAAAGAGCACTGCATAATTCTGACTTCTCAATTAGTTTGGAAACTGAAATAAAAGGTACACTTTTGAAAAATGATATCACTTACTACAGTTTTTGAAGTTGCTGCAATTCGTGCCACAAATTTTTGTCGACTACCCCAGAAATAATATTCATTTCACTTTCAATTTTAAATTTTACATGTAATTCAATTTATAAACCGAGCTTTTTCAAGTCTGATGGTTTAATTCAGTTGACTGATTCGTCAAAAAATGCCTCGATGATAAAGCTGTAAATCTGTAGAATATTAAACGTCTCCTAATTTAGCAGCGGGTAGTCTTATAGTTAAAAGGATCAAAAAGCTATCTAATTTTAAACACACCTGTCAAGTGAAGCAAAACGACAGGTTACAACTGAAGTTTGTTTTTGCAAACAGAAAACAATGGTTGTTTAAAACCGGAGTGATGCTCTGATTGATTTCTTATCGATAGACCAAAACTGAAGATCAGATTTTAAAATATGCTTCTGGTCAATTAAGCAAGCAAGAAATGTTCTGATGGCTTGTAAAAAAAGTTGATCTCATATTGGATTTTTGAGAGAACATTCACCTGGGTTGACAAAAAATGCTTATCATACTATTTCATATTATGAAAAAATGCTTATCATACTGTTTCGTAGACCAAAAAAATATTATGAAAATAGCATGATAAGCATTTTTTCCATACTATGAAATTGTATGATAAGCATTTTTTCCATAAATGAAAATACCAAAAAATATATATATTTTTTGAAATTTTGTGTTTCAATCGAAAAATTAACCCTGGATTTTTTGTCATTAGAAAACCCAGAGTGTAACTGGCAGTTACCACGCAGATTAACTGCATTTGGTGATTTTTGCCACCTACGTTAATTTTTACATTTTCACATGGAATCATATATCAAAAATAAAACTTTTTGTTTATGGCTAGATAATTTTTGATTTGAAAATTTTGGTAGTTCAAAAAAGGCCCGTTTTCTCTTCAAATTTATTTTTATCTTAGCAAATGAAATAAAAAAATAATAATCTTAAAAATCATAATAAGAAAACTAGATTGGAAAAGAACTGAAAACTCGAAAGCTTTTTCGGAAATTAAATCCAGAAAACTTCATATGAAAGTAAAATCAAATCTCAGTTGGGTTTTATAGACAGATGATTTATGAAAGTGCTGTGCTTTAGATTCATAAACACGAACTGCTTCAAACTAAGGTAAAACAAGGATGGTCGGTTACTGTGCAAAGTAGCACAGAATGTTTCGACCATAGTCATAAAGAATCGTTTTTTTTTCTTCAAATTATTGTCGTTGATTTTGGCGTGTTGTGATGAAAAGACATAACAAAAAAAATTAGAGATTATGCAGATTCGACAGTTATAGTAAAATAAGCAAATTGAAAAATTTATTTTGGAAAATAATTGACCAGAAAAACGCCTTAAGCTAATCAAAAAAACTTAAATTATTCGAGTAAAATTAGGATATCACGTTTTAAAGCCATTGAAATAGGCTATTGTAAGCCTGCTATCTTTTTTTTGCTCAATTTAAGACAAGAACCAAAAATTTCAAACCGGTTTTTCTTGGCAATGAAATTTTTTCAAAATTTTTTAAAAATTGCTCGAATCACGACTGTAGGGGATCTAAGATGATATATCATTAAACTCTCTCCGATGATTGTTGGTGATAGCTAATCTTGCGTGGAAAAAAAAAAGAAAAAATGAAAAAAAAAAACGCGAATACAAAGTTTCTCCCCATTTTTCAAATAGTTGGATCTGTAAAAAAAAACCACACTTATGTGTTTTTAATCAAACACAAGTATGTGTTTATGACCTGAAAGCTTGCAAAATAGACTTTTTTGTTGAAAAACAAGAAAAGTCATCGTTCAAGCCTAAATATAATCAAGTCAAGAGCGTTTGCGAACGCGTAAAATTGAAAATGGTTTTTTGTTTGAATCTTAAAGTTTTGCAAGGATTTTATCAGTTGACTATCATTCACACAAATTGAAACTGCTACATAACTAAGTCAGAAGTATGCAGCAGACGCTTTTTTAGTGAAGCAGAAAAATGCCAAAAAAAGTGGTGCTGAAATTGATATAAGCTCATAACAGCGGAAAAAAGATCTGCTGACTTTTCGATTCCGGCATTGGTCGAGAGTTCTACCCACAACCAATTTTAGGCGTAAGTAATTGATTGTAACGGATTTTATTGATGATTTTTTGACAATTATAATTGATTATAATTACCAAAATTAGGTGTTTAAAAGATTTATTAGCGGTTATAATCGTGATTATTTCCAGGAGAGTATAATCTCTTATAATTGATTATAATTGATTATAGTTTATACAAAAAAACCCTAAAAATTAATTGTAATTGATTATCATCTCTTATCTTCTATTTTGCCAAAAAATTGTTGCACTGAAACAATATTTGACCTATCTCTTATGCTTTTTTAATTTCATATCAATAAAAAAATCTCTGAAAGCGAGATCTCTTGTCACACTTTTGTTCATCGGAACACAAAAATTTACCTAGAAACAAAAGTTTCAAAGAGATCCTTTCATATAATTTGACAGGTTCCCGCGGTAGGTAAAAAGTAAATCTTCCGACTAATCATGAAGCTAAAACAATTTGCGGTTGTTTTGGTGTTTAAAAAAGCTTAAAATGTGCATCATGAAACAACTCTAATGGCGAAAAGCCGAAAAATAATGTTATAATTTTGAATTAATTTAAGATTTTTAAAAACAATTTTCTCAGTTTTCACAGGAATCAACGTTAACAAAAAACATAAAATACAAGCTACTCAGATGCGAGTTCGAAGACAAAATGTGCAAACAAAAAGGATTATAATCGAGGTTAACCGGTTATAATGGATTTTTGTGCAAACATATGAATCAGAATTTGGGATTAAAATAATGGAATACAATCAGATATTATCGATTATAAAAGTATCGAAAATTAGACGGATAAATAATCGATTATAATCAATTAAAATGTATTAAAATTAACTATAAATTGACTTCAAAAAAGATCATAGTCGATTATTAGTTTTCTCACTTTTATTCTAAGTTTTTTTAAGACTGCTACTAAAGTCGTAATGTAATCAATTTTTAACGCTTGAAACTGTATGCGGATAGTCCAAACATGAGATTGAAATGATTTTAAACACCGCCTATCTTTTTTACTTTGTAGTTGTATAACAACCGTTAATCAGATCAGTAAAACATTCGAGGAATGCCATTCTAGGAAAGCAGACGCCAAGGGAAAACGCAATTATTTTGAGAAAAAGAAAGGTATTTACCCAACGGCACCCAGTGAAAAGAGAAAATAATCAATTAGATTCTTATTTTAATGATACTTTTAGCAAAATTATAATTAATTAGGAGCGCTAATTTTTGAGGTTTAAGCAATTCATAATCCATAATACTGATAAAAATTTTAGTGAAATTTTAATAAATTATAATAAATTAAAATTGATTATATATTTTTCCGAAAACCTCTCATAATCTTTTATAACCTATTAGAGTAGATTGTAATCCCTTTTTCCATCAAGATTATAATCCCTTTTTCCATCAAACTTTTATTTCCCAAGAAAACTCAAATAACGGATTATAATTCAGATAACACAAAAAAAAATTTGTCGACATTTATTTAGGCCGGCCAAATTGATTTTCAGAGCTCTCCCAAAGCACTTAAAAGACCCTATTTTGTCACAAGTTTGTGTACCGCAGGCAAAACTTGGAAAAACAGGCGAAAAACGGCTTTTTTAGGCATTTTATGGAAAATTTCCACCAAAAAATCGCGTTTTTTGGTGCGTGCTCCCCCTCAAAATTAGCATATATTGGCACCAATATCTCAAAACAGAATAAAGGGGGCCTTTTGGTCGGCAGGGGGTCGAATCTCTAAGAGGGGGCGTCCGGCCCCCTAAATCCGTCCCTGCAGTGAACAGTAAGAAAAAAAAACAGTGAACAGTAAGCGGTAAACAGTAAGAAAAAATGTCAACTCAAAAGCACACAAAACAAAACAAAACAAACACGAATTGAAGTGATGACGTTTGTTGAATAATAATAGATTAGAATCCATTAAAATGGATTATAATTTAATAAAAATTCAAAAAAAAATTAAAAAAATAATCGATTATATATAATATAATATATATGAAACACAATAAAATATATATGAAACATAATAAAATAATCGAAAAAAATGTTTCGAAAAATAGTAACATTATATTCCGCTTTTTTCAATTGATTATATTCAATTGCTTTTGAAATTTATGGAGACTGACAATAGAAATCCATTATAATTTATTATTTTCTCTTTTAACTGAGTGCGGGCATAGTTATTTTATCCTCCACTTGATGACCTTGAGATCTCAAGCCCACCATGTTTTCTTGCGAGAGCGCACACCAGTATGTCAAAAAAACAGCTGTCAAAATTCAGTCCATTAAGGAAGATTACTCAACAGCTTGTTGGGAAAGCCTAAATAAAAGAAGTTAGCCCGACACTACTGTCACGACATCGATGGAATAAGAAGGGGACGAAAATTAAAATAAAAAATGTTAGTTTAAATTTTCAGGATTTCTGTCAAATAGGATTTCTTTATTCTGATCAAACGCACACATCACGTTCATTAGTGCACACCCTGACCCAATTAGACACACCTTTACCACATTAAAACCATGGAGGCGATCACTTCAGTACACGCTATCAGACTAGAACCTCTTATTCCAGAATACTTCAAAGAGGCTACTAAGAACAGCAACAACAACAGCAGCAGCAGCAACAATCAACCAACAACGAGCACTAAAAAGTGTCAGTAAGCAGGGAGTCTTAATAGTCGACAGCCATCAAGCTGGTCGACACCATCAAACCAGTTGAATCGCCACAACCGAATCATCATAGCCGACAGCCAACTTTTTAACTGACATCAAGATAGCCGATTAGCACTATCAAACACTACAGCGTTGCGAACGGCCACAACTGACAACTAATGGACACTTACACGATGTAGCCAGCGTTTTTGAATCTGCAGAATGTGGCTCATTATTATGTACAGATTTCTACAATCATTCGTCTACGTCTAAAATCTAAAACAGTAGACTTATTTATATATAACAATTTTTACACTAAAACATTTGTTGACGGCACTTTCTCAAACTACCTGCGTGAAATATGAAAAAAACTCGCCTCAGATCTTTTTTGTTTCGAATATTAAGTTTTAAAAGTTTCCCGATTTGACCATTTTGGGATAACGCTAGCCATCATTTACAGTTTTTTAGTTTTGTTGAATTAGTAAAAAATGTACTTTTTACTACAAACCAACAAATTTTACTTCATACAGCGCATAGTAATAATATACTTTTTATACTTTTTTGAAAATATTTCAACTTCTCAATCAAAAATATTTTTAGTCATCTTGATTGCTCGTCGAAACTGTACCCGCTGTGACAAAAATTAATAAATCTCGATAATCTACAGAAAAATACCCAAATTTCAGAAAAATTGTAATTCAATTTTTTTATACAGAAAACTTCGATTATAACCATTAGATAATCAATTAGAATTCATTTTACTTCGGAAAAATTTTATACAGTATATCTTTATTATATAATTACCATCAAATCACAACAAATTTGTTTTTTTTTGTCAATTTTCACACAGAATGTACACAGGTTTTATACAAACTGTCTACAGATTATCTACAGATTATCTACAGATTATCTAGAGATTATCTACAGATTATCTACAGATTATAATCAGATTATATACAAGATATACACAGTGATAAACACTTTTTTTTCGGATATTTTGACAGAGGAAAGATATTATTCCAACCAAAGTCGAGCAAAAAAATCCCTTTTGACCAAAGTTCGACCGGAAAAAAAATTGCGTTTGAGGACTTTTCAGATTGTTTCGACCTTTCGAGTAGAATCATTTTCCTCCATATTCATTTTGCAGTAACGCTGATCAATAAAAAAATCACCATGAGAATTCTTGATTAAAAAAAATGAAGAGAGTCGAAGAAAAAAATGTGTGCAACCAAAATCAAAAACTGCTTAGCACATTTTTTCGTCAAGTGCAAAATTTTACAGACAAAAATTGCTTAGTACATTTTTTCGTCAATCGCAAAAATATACAGAGACAAATTGTCAAAACATGCTCCCAAGGTACACAATAGGAAAGGTGCAAAATATACTTTTTGCCAACATGGCTTCATTGAATTTGAAATTTTTTTTTTCTTGTTTTAGAACTTTTTCTTGCACTTTCTCAAACTACCTAGAAGTAGGTAACGTGAAATATGAAAAAAACTCGCCTCAGATCTTTTTTGTTTGGATTATTATGTTTTGAAAAATTTCCGATTTGACCATTTCGGGATAACGCTAGCCATCATTTACAGTTTTTTAGTTTTGTTGAATAAGTAAGAAGTGTACTTTTTACTACAAACCAATAAATTGTACTTCATACAGTGCATAGTAATAATATACTTTCGATACTTTTTTGAAAAAATTTCAACTTCTCAATCAAAAATATTTTTAGTCATCTTGATTGCTCGTCGAAATTGTACCCGCTGTGACAAAATTTGATAAATCTCCATTATCAACAGAAAAATACCCAAATTTTAGAAAAATTGTAATTCAATTTTTTTATACAGAAAACTTCGATTATAACCATTAGATAATAGATTAGAATTCATTTTGCTTCGCAAAAATTTTATACAGTATATCTTTATTATATAATTACCATCAAAACACAACAAATTTGGTTTTTCTTTGTCAATTTTTACACAGAATATACACAGGTTTCATACAATTTATCTACAGATTATCTACAGATTATCTACAGATTATCTACAGAATATCTACAGATTATCTACAGATTATCTACAGATTATCTACAGATTATCTACAGATTATCTACAAATTATAATCAGATTTTATACAAGATATACAAAGTGATAAACAGTTTTTTTCGGATATTTTGACAGAGGAAAGATATTATTCCAACCAAAGTCGAGCAAAAAAAACCTTTTGACCAAAATACGACCGGAAAAACAATTGCTTCCAAGGTACATATAGGAAAGGTGCAAAATATAGAAAGGTGCACAATTCAGTTCGTGTAGTTCACTGAAATCCAGAGACAAGTACTTGAACACGAGTTTTGCTGGCATGTTCAAAGAAAACAAAAACACGGGTTGACTTCATATATTAAAATTGGTATATATGCAATTCCACATTAACTAAGTCAATAAAAAAAAACTAGTCAAACTAATTTCATACATTTTGCCAACATGGCTTCATTGAATTTGCAAAGAACTTTTTTCTTGTTTCTGCATAAATGGTAATCGTCGAAAAAAATTGGCAAAAATTCTAATCTTTAATTTTCGAATTGTATGACTAGCGTTTTTTTGATGGCGACAAAAAATGTAAATTTTTGACCGCAAAACGTTATGAGTACTCAAACAAAACAAATTTTTTCGAAAATTCAATTTTTGTGTTCCTAACGTAGTCCTGGATACACAATAATTAGATTTTTTCCGTTCCGCTGGATATAATTTTAAAAAATTTCCAAAGTGCCTATTTATTTTGTATGGCATCATTATGTACGCCTTGATTAATGCTTGAATAATAAATTTTGGATCCTATTCAAAAATTTATGCCAATTTTGCAAATTTAGACCACGAAATTGTCTATATTGTCATTATAAACGACTATTTTCATGAAAACACAATCTATTAAAATCCATTATAATGGATTACAATCCGTTTCAAATCTATTATAGTTGATTATAACGGATTATAATTTTACATTTTTATGTAAAATCATTTGCGAAACTTGCGTTATTTCTGCGTTACTCACAGCCTACTCGCAATCTAAACCTACACAAGTTAACCTCCACCCCTCACTTTGCCCCCATCCGCATTTGCCCAAAACCTTCCCCCACTCCCCTACGTTTATCCCTACGCCCACCCCCATGTTTACCCCCAAACCCCTCCCCCAAATTACAGTTTACCCTCCGCCCCAGTTTGTTTACCATTGAACGGGGACAAGGGAGGGGGGTTACTCGTTGTGAAACACCTATTTACTCTCATTCTCCATACTAAACCCCTCACCCAGGTTTTCTTTTCCACTCTCCCCCCATTTTACCCCCGTCCATGTTCAGTAAACGGGGGGGGATAAACTAAGATAGGGGGGTACACTGTGGAGGGGTAAACTGGGTGGGGGGAGGGTCCGGGCTGCGGTAAACTGACGAGGGGTAAACTGTGTGTGGGGAAGGGGGGAGGGGAGTTAGTTTACGTAGTATAGAAAAAGTAGAGAAAACTTAAATAAACAAAATCTTATGTGAAAAGTAAAAATTTGTGAAAAGTAATAACTGCACGAAACAAGAAATGAGATAATTTTGAAAAAATAAATTTCAAAACTCAAAATTTCTTCTCAAAAAATACATTATAATTTTAATCTATTATAATAGATTATCATGACCAGGGGGTGGATCTAGGATTTTCTCGAGGGGGGGGGGGGGGGGGGGGGCGGATTTTCAAAATATTTTCGAAAATTTTGACTACTTTTTTTTTTAGGTCGATCAGATTGATTTTCCGAGCTCTCCCAAAGCAGTTAGACCCTGTTTTGGTCAAATTTTCTGCGCCGCAGGCAATTTTTTTGAAAAAAACAGGTGTCTTTAGAAAAATTTTAGGGTCGGTCGGCCAAAAATTGATTTCTTAAAAAGTACCAAAGGGGGTACCCTTTGGGTTGGCAGGGGTTCGAATCGCTGAATGGGGGGGGGGGGGGCGTCCGCCCCCCCTAAATCCGCCCCTGATCATGATTTTTAAAAAATTAAGATTATAATCATTTTTTAATGGATTGTAATCGATTATAATGGATTATATTGATATGAAAAATGCTAAGATTATAATCCATTTTTGATGGATTATAACCCATTATTTTTGCAATTTTATAGATACTGACAATAAAATGACAGTATAATCGATTGTTATCCATAGTTTGTCGTTCGTAAATTGGTGAGTAATCAATTTTACTGTTAAAGGATTGTGTGGAAAGATCTGTAGTCAAGTACCTATTTTTTTGGTTCTTTTGTTATCTAAGAAACCACACCAAAATGTTTTGAAATCCTGAAACAAGCAATTATAAATTTTTTTGAAATTTTTTGAACGGTAGCAGGGTGAACTTCAAGGCTTAGAACGAACCCGATTGAGTCTGTGCCTTCAAGTCTACGAAAGCCTGTCTCGGCTTTTTCTCTCTCGTTGTTTGACTTCTCGCCAGCAGTCCGCCTCTGTCGTCTGCTCTACATTTATCCCTGCCCCCCTCTGACTTGGATTCATCTCGGGTGAGGGAGGATATCATTCGTAGACACTGTCTTCTAAATTGAGGGTTGGCTGTGGACTCGTATAGTTGAAGTAGTCGGGCCGCCAGATCGGCTTTGTCCGAGTGGGCACCGATCTATGAAACAATTAATAAGAGTTTCGACTAATTTTTCCTTCACATAGAAAAAAATATTTCCCTTGTAAAACATTGAAAGAAATTTCGACTAATTTCCCTGGTTAAGAACAAATTTCAAAATATCTCATAATTGTTTTGACTGCAATCCAAAATAGCGCAAAAAATACCCGCATCCAAGTTTATGCGTAAGTAATCGATTATAACGGATTTTATGATGATTTTTTTGACAGTTTTAATTGATTGTAATTGCCAAAAATAGGTGTTTAAAAGACTTATAATCAATTACAATCGTGAAAATGTCCAGGAGATTATAGTTTCTTATAATCGATTATAATTGATTATATTTTATACAAAAACACTTAAAATCAAATATAATCGAATCTAATCGATTATAATCTCTTATTTTGCCAAGTATTGGTCATACCAAAACAATATTTGAATTATTTTTTCTGGATTATTAATTTTCTGTCAATAAAAAAATCTCTGAAAGCGAGATCTCTTGTCACACATTTTATTTGAAAGGTTCCCGTGGTAGATGAAAAACAAATCTTCTAAATCAATCCTGAACCTAAAACAATTTGCTGATGTTTTGCTGGTTAAAAAAGCTTACAATGTGCATCAAGAAACTAGTCTAAAGAAATGAAAAAAAAAACGTTATAAAATTGAATTTATTTGAAAACTTTCAAAGCAGTTTTCTCATTTTTCACAGGAACCAACGCCTACAAAAAGCATAAAATTCAAGCAACTCAGATGCAATTTCAAAGATAAAATTTTTGATATATATGAAAATATACATATATATATATATATATATATATATATATATATATATATATAAAAATACAAGTTTTTAGTAGAAAAGAAATATGTACTAATTTTTAGAGGTTTTTTGTTTTTGAAAAAAAAGCTTATCATACAATTCCCATATATGGAAAATCCATGAGCAGCATTTTTTGATGGCGAAAAAAATATTTTCGAAATTGTCTGAAATTTTTTTTTTTCAACCGCTTATCAAATTTTGTACTCAAACAAACATTTTCCGAAATTTTTTTTTGCTTGCAAAATTTAATTTTGTGTGTAAACGTAGTCTTGGATACACTAATGTTGGGTTTGTTTTTTCCTTTGCGTGTAATAACTTCATCAAAAACTCTGATAATTCCTATTTTTTATGGCATGTTTATGTCTGCCTTGAACAATGACTGATAATATGGAATTTCAAATTTTGAAAAACTTTGCCAAAGCTTAAAAGTTTGTTACTTTTTTTTTATCTCACTTCTGAAAGACAGCTCTAAGTCAGTTCCGGTTGCTTTCTATGCATTTTAAATTCAAGACCTTCCAACCTTTGGTGCTTTGAGTAAACCAAGGCCTTTGTCACTTGTGTTTGATTGCAAACAGAACCCAAAATTTTTCAGAAAATAAATTTGGAAGAGAAAATGAGATTTTTGATTTACGGAAAAATACTTGTCATACAAATTTAGTATATGAAAAAATGATTATTATAGAGATTTTATACATTTTTCTGTACTTATGGAGTTGCATTGAATTGTATGCCAAGAAGTTTTTCATATATATTGAAAGTGTATGGTAAAAAATTTTGGTCATCCCGGGCTGAGGCTAGTGCTCCACCTGGGGTCGGAAAAAATCTTATGGTCGAAACTGGATTTTTTAACGACAGTTCAGATGCCTCAGCAGACGATCAAAAGGGGCCGAGTTGTGAATCACATTAAAGACTTTAAAGATTTGAATTAAAATCCACAACAAAAATTAATAGGGTTTCTCGTATGAAGAGAAAGCCCTCCTGCATATTCTGAATTCCCCTTACGTTCCCAAAAGTTAGTTTTTTTAAAAGAAACTTAAACTTGATAATTTATCAAACAATGAAAAACAAGAAGTTTTTTATAGTTTTTTTTTTCAAAAACTCCCCCACACGCTTAAGTACAAATTGTCGTAATTAGCGTCTCGCAAGGTAATAATAGATCCAGGGAGCTTGCCTAAAGCCAAATTGGAACAAAATTTGAGCTGGATTGATTCGCCGATCACGCATTACTGGCCAAAAATAGCCCAAGTTGCAATTGTCAAACCGTCAAAAAATTACGGAAAATAATCTCAGTGCCTCAATATTTTTTTTAGATAATAAAAAGATTCAACTCAAAACTGGATACAACATAAATCAGAAAGTTTCCTATGAAAAAGTTTTCACTGAGCACAGATTTTCCATCTTTTCTGCAAAAGTCGTGGTAAAATTTCTTTTATCCTTGACTCTCTTAATAATAGTTTTGGTTCAATCTTTTGAAGAGAGAGATAAAGGTTTACACTTGAGGTGGTTATTTTTATCAATCAAGGTTTGGCATATAGCTAACCGCTTTTGCACATTGTAAAAAAATAATAAAATTTTGAGCTAAAACAAGAACAATATCACCTGTGATGACTCCTAAAAACAGTTTTTGGTTTTTTTCAAAATTGATAATTTGGTGATTTTGAGATAACTAAGGCGCGATACGTTTCCTTCACTTAACAGGCTAGCCGCCGAGTGTAATTGTTTCGAATTGAATTGAGGCTAGCATTTTTGTCTTTTTAAGCCAAAACATCAGTATGTACGCTGAATACATCCATTTTATAAAAAAAATTATAGAAAAAACTTGTACAAAAAGTAAAAAAAAATCATGTAGAAAAAACAGCTTCTTATTTTGATTGCTTCTTATTACTCTTTTACTGCTCATGCGGCGAGCTAATATGCGCTGCAATCGAGCTAAAATTAACTTGACTAAATGTTTAGTAGCTCTCAAATATCTGTTACTGGTTCGTAAAATAATTCTTTTTGATCTTGATTTTGTATTTTTTTGTTCTTTTTATATATGAAAAAAACGTGGGAAAAATATTCCACAAAATATGGATTTGCTATTGTGGAAGACTCATTTTTCGAAGATTGTAAGTAAATCAAAACTTACAAAAACTAGCAATTTTGAGAGAGAGATTTTGTCAGAGGACAAAACTTCATAGCTCGCACTGAACTTTTTCGGAAGTCCATCAAAAAACAGATCTTTTTCCATCAGATTTTGCTCGGACTTTCGAAAAAGTGATGAAAAGATTTGCATTCTGTGGTGGTTTTTTCCCCAACTTAATTAAAACTTCTAATACAGTCTGGATAAAAATATATTCTCAGCTCAAACTTGAAAAGATATTTCACCTGCAACAAATTTTTAAAAAGTTATTGGTGTTTGAAAATAGCCAGTTTCACAAGTATGGAGTAGTGAGTTTGCGTGCTATTTCCAATTTTCTATAAAAAAAGGCGAAATAATCTGAATCAAAAATTTTTCACCTTTGAATTTAAAAAAAAATGGAAGAAAATAATAGAAATAAAGAATTCATAAGCGCAAAAATTATCTTTTTGTATACTTTTCATTGCATGTGGGGGATGATAACCAAAACTTTTGCATCACAAACATAAAGGACAGTCAGAACGATCAAGATTTCGCCATAACACGTTAAGTCGTGACTTTTTTTCAGTGTGTATTGATCAACATTGAAAGCCCAGCTCAGATAAATTTTTAGCCTGGGTGAGTTTTTTTAGTATAACTTTATTTTCGGTTTTCGGATTGTTTATTTAAATTTATTTAGAATATCTTAAAATTTATTTAGAATATCCTACAAAAAAGCGAACTAGAAAAATATGGTATCTTGAATAAGTATAAGATTTTCGCGAGCATCATAAGCTCAAAGGAGATAACTTTCAAGCTTCGAACAAACTTTCGAAGATACTATAGCTTAATTTGATGCAAAACCTTACCTTGCGAGATATTGCGACTTGGTTTTGCAGCCCCATTTATATCAGATTTAACCTCTTCTTTTTCTGTTATGAACTGTTATTCCAAGTGATAGAAAAAAACAACAAATTAGAATAGGTAGAAACGCATTTGTTATTTTGGTTTGATTGTTTTGACTGGATTAGCAACTGCTTTGGCGGGAAATATCAGAAGCATTGTTTCTTTCTACCAACAGACGGATTATGGGGGCCATAAAGTGAGGAAAATCTCCATCGAAACAAAACAAGCTGTTTTATGTTTTCACTTTTTCATACAATTTTTAGTTTTCTATTTGGAACCAATTTTGGCAATGAGTCTCATCCCATCATTTATATTTAAAATCATAAAATGAATTGAAGCGTGTTAAATGGCATCTTTATAAATGCTTTGATGGTATGCTGTATAGTGTAGTCATGGAGAGGCTGTTAACGTCTCTTTAAACCTTCATCGGATCAAAGAAACAGACAATTGGTCGCCGAGCGGTTCTATAAAATTTTAGAACAGCTGTATATTTATTTGTCTGAAGGTTGATGAAGTTGAACTTGAAAAACAACACACCAATATTCTGCTACTTCAGCTGATACTCTTTATGAATCAAGGCCACTCCCTACCGTCATTGGATGCAAACAACAGACTATTTCGGAAAAAGTGCGTTGGCTGTGTACTCTGCTTTAGTTTGGACATAAAAGAACCAAAACAGTTTTTTTTTCAACAGAAACAGCAATATTCCACTATGTTTCGAGTTCGACCAACTCGACGCAGAAAAACAGAATCAATGATAGGAAACGTCTGATATAAACAACGCCAAGCTTTTTTCTTCTTATTGGTTCAATCAAACTAGCTTAAATTATTTTATTTTTGGAGTATTATAGCGCTGAATTCAATTAATAACACAAAAGAAACTCCAGTAGTTTATTCATGCCGAACCATCATTAGCGGCCGACTTTCCCCTGACGAACAGTTCGAATGACTGCTGGACTGCGTTATAAGGGATATTGCGCAGCAGTTGTTTGAACTCTGCTCTGTCTATTCTCCCGTCTGAGTTGTCATCTGCACTCTGTAAAAGAGCCTCACACTCCAACTTCACCACGTCTTCATTCCCACTAAATTTGCCTAACATTTTCCTGAAAAAAAAGTTTGAAAAAAACATCGGATCTAGGATCGATTGCATATCAAACACGTAGTGGAGCCAAAGGTATTTTGTCATCTATTTCTTGTCGGACTAATTATGTGAAGAATTCCCAGAAACGTTCTTTTTTCCGTATCTTGACAAAATGCGTACTTCAGACTACCAAATTTTTTTTAAAACTGTTTTACATTTATTTGTTTATGGTTATCAAACAGTTATTGATTTCAAGTAAGATCACTCTATTTTATGCACGCTTCGTTTCACTATTCAGGTGCCCCGCTTGTTGAGTGCCCTCCAGTTAATATTAAATGATTTGATGTTTTGCTTTGTACGGTAAATAACTCAATTTTTAATTATCGACTCTAATCATCCCATTTATCACTGCAAAAAACGAAAAAAAAATGTTTTTCTAAAAAAGCCTGTTTTTGTTCCGATCGTTTGAAAAATGGGGAGGAAGTTTGTATACGGATGTGTTAGAGTTTTTTTTGTTTTTTTTACACAAAATCAGCTTCCACAAGTAATCATTGAAGTGAGTTGAGTGATATATCATATTAAAGCTTTTTCAGTTGCAAATCAAGCGACATTGAAAAAATTCCAAAAAAACTTTCCAAGTGTCGAGAAGAACGGTTTAAACTTTTGATTTTTCGTCCAATTTCGAGCAAATAAAACGACAAAACGACTATGTAAAGTGAGCGAGCAGGCTTACCAGCCTACATTACGAGGCCAAACTATGCGTTTTGTGAATTGTAAGCGGATTCCGCAACAGGCAAAGTCAGGTTTAACCCGGAAATCAAAAAATTGTTTTTTTTTCGTTGATTTTCTCTGCTGTTTTGGATTCCACACATTAATGGCTAAACACTGTATTGCTCAAAATTGCTCAAAAACAGGCAACTTTGCGGAATCCGCAACATAATGTGTGGAATCCGGAACAAGTTTGTGAAACCCATATACAAATAAGAATATATGTGTTTAGTAAACTTAAACTGTCGCGGAATCTGAAACTGTAAGCGGATTCCGCAAATTGTAAGCCGAATCCGCAAATTGTAAGCCGAATCCGCAAATTTTAAGCGGAATTCGCATAAATTTGGGGAATTCATTTACATTCGCTGAATTCGCTTGCAGTTGTGGAATCCAGAACTACTAGCTATATTCTCCTGTTGCAGAATCCGCGACAAAACAAATGTGCCGACAAAATTTACGTTACAGGTTATTGTACGTGGAATCCGCTTACATTTTGGAACATGTTTATAGTGCACAGTTTAGCCTCGTAATGTAATTTACAAGTTTAAAATTTACAAACACAGTTTAAGCCGTAAAAAATTAGTTTTACTCGAGTAAAATAAGTTTTTGATTTCTAGCGGCTTTTTAGTCGTAGCTACATGAATTGTTTTCGAAATTGTTTATATTAATATAACTGTTGAGTACTCTTAAGCTGTCGCTTTTCGTTCAAAATCTTTTGTCGCACCACACAGAAAAACACGACACTAATTTTAAGAAAAAACTATTGATTTTTTAAGACCATAGTCGGAAGAAACCATAGTGGTGAGTATCCCAGCCTGTCACGTTGGAGACCGGGGTTCGATTCCCCGCCGAAGAGCCACAAAATATGCTCGCTAATCTCCAAAAAAACTGTTCCAAATCCGTAAATTAGTAAGAGATATTTCTCGGCAAATAACTCGGTCAATAAAATAATTTCGGCATTTTTCTATTGATCAGAACATCATATAACATTTTTAGCATCTGCCTGTTTTTGGTACAAATCGGCGCAAGCTAGCCACAAGAACCGGTCGGTAATGTCCTTGAGACAAATTGCTCTTTTTGGCGGTCAGCCTTAATCAAGGCTGAACCGAATTAGAACCAAAAAACAGTTAAAATAGGATGTAACCCCCGTTTTTAGTATATTAATACATGGGCAGGTGGGGGACTCGAACCTACGTCAACTGTTAACCTATATAATCGGCGTTATGGTAGCTTAGGCCACTCGGCCAACTGAGCTTATTTTTATATGCATCTATACTTGTTTTATTCTACATTTGCATTGCAACATCCTCCCCCCCTGAAGAAGGAAGAACCGGAGCGAGCTTAACGGTCGGCCGCGTGACTTCACGGGTTGCGGTCCTGACAAGGGCGGATCGGGCGCAACCGTCCTGTCCGTAGTTTAGCTTGACGATTCGGGCGAGAGGGTAGTACCCACGCGGACTATCGGGCTCAATCACCCACACGAGATCGCCTGTTTTAAGAGTGAAGTCAGAATGAGTGTGCCACTTGACACGCTTATTCAGCGAGGGAACATATTCTCGAAGCCAACGAGACCAAATCGCGTTAGCATATGACTGCGCTCGCACGTACCTTTTCTTGTGATCGAAGTGCTCCCCGGGTAAAAGCGAAGGAAAGCTTGTGGCATGTTGTCCAAGCAAAAAATGGTTTGGGGTTAACGCTTCTAACTCACGTGAATCGGTACTAACGGGAGTGATTGGCCTCGAATTCAAAGCCTGTTCAACTAAGCAGAGTGTTGTTCCTAACACCTCTTCAGTGACTCGCCTACTGCCTAGGATATCGTACAGCACGCGCTTCACGCTTCGGACGAGGCGTTCCCAGGAGCCGCCATGATGGGGTGCGCCTGGCGGGTTAAATTTCCAAGTAACACCTTTGTGTGCAAAAATGGTCGGAGCCATGCCATTCCAGCTCTTGATGCAGGCAAGTAATTCCTTTTCCGCACCAACGAAGTTCGTGCCATTATCCGACCAGATTGTGCTTGGCGTACCACGGCGCGCAACGAACCGTTCAATGCCCATGACACACGAACTGGTGTCCAGAGACGGTACAATCTCAAGGTGTACAGCCCTGGTGGTGAGGCAAGTAAAAAGAAATCCCCATCTTTTTTCCGTGCTTCTGCGAACCGGAACGTAAAGCGGTCCAAAGTAATCCACACCCGTATGATTGAAGGGTGGTTGCTTGTATCCGAGACGTTCGACCGGTAAATTGGACATAATTGGCTGGATGGTGCTTGCTTTGCGTTTACGGCATGTCACACATTGATTTTCGATAGACCGAAGTAGTCGACGCAACCCAAGTATTGCATATTTCATATTTAAAACGGAGCGCATGTAATCTAATCCTTGATGAAAATGCTTATGGTGGAGGCTGCGGGCCAACAAACGAACTAAGGTATGTCGGGCGTCGAGTATTATTGGGTGCTTAGTATCAAACTCGGTATCCACTAAGCGCACAATCCGTCCGGTGGAACGAATGATTCCAGCGGGACCGATAAATGGCGAGTATGTGGCAATTTTACTACTATTCTTAATAGGTTTGCCAGCGGTGAGTGTTTTTAACTCAACGGGAAAGGATTCCATCTGAGCAAGATGAATCAGTTTGCTTTCTGCAATATCAAGTTCAGTAGGGTCGGTGATTCGTAAGTCTTTACCACGAAAATGCTTATGTGAAGGCAACACCCTCAACATAAAAGCGACTACTCGTTTATATCTTGTAAAGGAACTGAACCTTTCCCAATTGAACCCGTGTTCGGGATGTTTGATTGATGTGACATCGGTGACGAAGGAAGATGATGTCTCCAAGCAATTATCAACATCACAAGAAGGACCCTTCAAACGAATTTTATTGATTACACGTTCGTCGGGTATAAACGGCCAATCAGTAGTCCTGAGAATGCTCGGACCAATAACCCAGCTGCTATCCTTGAGGGCTTCCGAAGAAATCCCCCGCGTACCGGTATCAGCTGGATTATCGCCGCTCAGAACATGGTGCCACTCATCAATAGTGGTCGACTCGAGGATTTCGCCGACACGATTAGCGACGAATACAGGTAATTTTTCAGTGGAGTTTAGCCACTGCAAAACTGTTGTACTATCTGTCCACATAAAGACATGATTAATAGAGACGGTAAGGGCGGTCAGTATATCATCTTTTAGTCGTGTGGCGAGCAGAGCAGCTTGAAGCTCTAGCTTCGGTATAGATAGCGCTTTCATGGGCGCAACGCGAGCTTTACCAAAGATGAAGGATATTTGAGTTTTATGCGAGCTCGCGAGTCGCGCACGCAAAAATCCAACAGCACAGAAAACGTCCTGCGAGCTATCACCGAACATGTGGAGCTCAATTTGATCAACAGGCTCTGTGAAGTAACAACGGGGAATAGTCAATTGCCCTAAGAGAGGGAGACCGGAGTGCCACTCGAGAAACTTATCTCTTATGTCTTCTGGCAATTCGTCGTCCCAACTTTGACCACTGATTTTCCAAATATCTTTCAGTAAAAGACGGGCCCTAACTGTGTATGGAGCTACTAACCCAACAGGGTCAAACACAGAAGAGACGAAACTCAAGACGGTTCGTTGAGTTATTGCTTTATCGAGAGGACGATCCACGCCTCTGCTAACAACCAATGTGTCTTTCACATGGTCCCACTTAAGACCTAAGACGTGTGATGATTGTTCGGCACCGTTACATATTTCCTTGATGGGTGAAGATGAGGATTCGGATTCCTCGGGGTTCATTGCTGAAGTGATTTCATCAGCATTACTGACAAATTTAGTCAAATTAAATCCTCCCAATTTTAGTAAGGAAACCAAATCGCGACTAGTTTTAGTTGCTTGGGTAACGTTCTCGAATGAATCCAAGTAATCGTCCATGTAAAATTTTTCATTTACGACTGAGGCGGCCTCAGGGTATTTGGACATATTATCAGTTGCTGTTTTTTGCAACGCGAAATTGGCGCACGTAGGCGAATCCCGTGCGCCGAATATATGGCGAGTGTACTGATGAACTACCACATCGGAAGTGGTATCCTCCCGCCACAAAAAACGGAGCGAAATTTGATCGCGGGCAGGGACTCCTACCTGGAGGAACATACCCTCTATATCCGCGGAGACGGCGTACTTATGTTGACGGAATCGCAAAAGCACAAAAATTAAATTTTGGAGTAGGTCAGGACCCACCAATAAGGACTTATTTAAGGATGTGCCATGAAACTTAGAAGCC